TATATATATATATATATATATATATATATATATATATATATATATCTATATATATATCTATATATATATATATCTATATATATATATATATATATATAGATATATATATATATAGTTTATCGTTTTACCTCAAAAAACCACAACAGTCTGTTTCATCCGTATAGGATATATATATATATATATATATATATATATATATATATATATATATATATATATATATATATATATATATATATATATATATATATATATATATATATATATATATATATATATATATATACCGGGTGAGGCAAAAAAAAGTACGACTCTTTGAATTGGTATAACATCAAAACTAAAAGACCAATGACAATAAAACACGTTTATTGGCATTCAGCGATGTCTAACTTAAATTTTGATATATGCCATGCACATTTCCATGCCATATTGACAAAGATACGTGCATTTGAACAAGAGTAACATTTTTGAAACTGAGAGAATTAAGCTAAAAACGGCCTATTAAATATTAATACCTTTATATACAAAAACAACTTGTGTTAAGTTACGTTAACGCTTGTTGTTCAATATATATAACCCGAAAATATAATCCCCCAGTAGGGTTAGCAAAATTTTTCTCTTACTTGTAACTTGTTTTTTAATCTCCATCAAAGTGAACAAGACGATAAAACCGGCTATAATAAACCTCCATATATTATCATTCAGGGGTTGATATAATTCATGCCCGTATCTCGGTGTTGTCACAGCTACTATAGTCCAGAGCATTGTATAGGTCAGATTTAAAGCCATGTCCATGATCGCACCTCTCTTCCCATAAATCCTCCATTTGACCGCTATAAGTCTTCTCATAACTGGATGCATAATGACATCAAACCTTTAATTAAGCATAAAATTGTGAAATTGTTCCAAATTGCACTCATGACCATACCATTACCTACGCTAACAAAAGAAAAATATATCTCGTTCGCACCTTTCATTCTGGACGGCTATTTCCAGGGGGGAACGCGCTTTTGTTTCCTGCAATTCTTCCTTCAGTTTCGCGCCTTCGAGGTAGTTGAGAAAGTAAAACTCCCGCCTGTTGATGTTGTCTGTTGTGTGAAATTGGTCCAATGCTATGAGCGCCACTTCGGGAATCTTTTCAATAAGGAGTGATAATGCAGAGTTCCCCTGTTCGTCAAACACGCCAGCAGGCGCTCCCGCAGTCACCAAAAGTTTGGCAGCTTTGAAACTGTTCATTTCTGCGGCCACCTGGGGGAATTTAGGAGAATGGTTTACTCATGGAAGAAGGTCTATATTTAGTTTTTGAATGCTGTTCTTAGGGTTTGTAATCCAAGTGAGTATATATATATATATATATACATTTTGAGACCTGACCAGGAACGCACAAGGTCCTCTGGTAGGAATTGAACCTACGGCCCTGCGATTATTTTTTCGCAACTGCTCCTATAAAAGGCACAATTTCCATCAATAAGACCTCTCTACAATATAGGAGAATGCTTTTTGAAATGCAATGAATTATGAACTCTCTCTTAGTTGGCTCTGTATTTTGTATATGGTCATATTTATGGCAATCCCCCACACTACCTAGCAACACTACAACAGCTAGAAGGAGCATCTTAGAATTAGTAAAACTGCAAAGATTGGTTGCTAAATGTTGTAAAATGAAGAAAATATAGCCCTGCATGTGAAGTTCGCAAATTTTGTATATATTTGTTTTGCGCGCGGTAAAAATAACCACTTTCGGCTCAAAAATGAGTTCCCGCGCGTAGTGTAAATATATGCAAAATTTGCGAATTTCACAGGGCTTTACACATGGCGACATTCTCAGTGAAACGGGAAAAAGGCTACCTGTAACGGTGTCCGATTTCTGCTGTCGCGAAAATCGATATTCGCGTCAAGGTCTAGCAGCATTTGAAGAGAGTTGACGGCGTCATTTTTTGCTGCGTAATGTATCGCAGTTTGTCCTTCGCCGTTTGTCTTGATGTCAATATTTCCGCCATTTTCGACGATAAATTCTACCATATTAGCGTAGTCGACTGCTGCGGCAACGTGAAGAGGAGAACGACCGTACTTATCTTGATGATTGACATTGGCGCCTGTGTAAGGTAAAATTAATGGATGATTCCATCTAGAGACGAAATTTTGATCTAGGCAAGAATGAAATCCATTACCATAGCTTGAAAGAGCATCTTAAAATGAGTAAAATTGCAAAGTGTGGTTGCGAATTGTTGTAAGATGAGGAAAATATAGCCCTGTGAAGTTCGCAAATTTTGTCAGATATTTGCATTACGCGCGGGAAAAATAACCATTTTTGAGCCGAAAGCGGTTATTTTTACCGCGCGTAATACAAATATATACAAAATTTGCGAACATTACATGGCTGTATTTTCTTCATTTTACAACATTTAGCAACCAATCTTTGCAGTTTTACTCATTCTAAGACGCTCTTTCTAACTGTGCATGGTGCTGGATTTTGTTCTTCTTGCCTTGATCAAAATTTAGTTTCTAACTGGAATCACCCATTGATGGTTAAGATAATATCACACAATAGACGTACGTTCTGGTAGATTGGACATTGCGAACTAATCTTGGGTGTAGTTTCACCAAATTCCCAGTTTGGTCAGCGTAAAACCTTTCTTGCAGTTCTGCCTGATCCAAAAATACGGATTCCGGGATCCCCGCGAAATTGACGCACGAAATTGCGATTTTGAAACTCGGGTACCAATTTTCTTCAAATTTTGAAACAACGTTGGTTGTGTAATTACAACTTATTCCATGTTAGTATAAACCTACTAGTAGGCTATCACATATCGTGCCTTCTGATTGGCTACGCTACTAGTAGGCTATTAGTAATAGCCTACTAATAGAAAATTCAAAATGGCGGAAAATTCGTCTGCATGATTTTTTGGACGACTTGTTGAACAATTCTGTACTAAAAAACCCCGAAAAAAGCAACAAAAATATGGAATGGTAATTTTTAAGGGTAAGAAAATAGACAAAATAACATACACTCCATGAAATTTTAAAATTAAAACTGAATTTTGTAAAACATTTTACGCGAACAAAAACTAAAATATTTGTTTACCTTTAATGGTTTTATAATGTTTTTTTGTGTATTTTTGTATTGTGTTTGCAGCCTAGTTGTAAATTAATGTTAAAGTTTATACTAAAACAATTAGACAACTCGGCCTCGTTGCCTATGAGCAAATAGTCAACTCGGCTTCGCCTCGTTGACTATTCGCTCATAGACAACTCGGCCTCGTTGTCTAATTGTTAATTGGTCATCATAGTTTAGGAAATTTGTTTCTAATCTTGTAAGATTGTAACTACTATGATTACTTCAGGATTTATCTTGAATTTATATTGCTTCACATTACAACACTATAATAGGCCGTCCGCTGCGTCCCGATATCCGGTTCACTTTCATTTCCCATGTCTTGGAATCGAAATATTTTTACGGGAACTAACACTTTCGAACATGCTGAGTTTAAATCCGAAAAGTTCCCGCTCCGTAGACCCGCAGTTTTCCCACAAACCGCTATTTTATCTTCACTAATTTCACGACAAATGTTTTCATTGTTCAACGACACGGATCGATGACGACAAATGATTATGTCACTCAAAAGGACCAATTTCTATTAACCAGTCTTCCTTTTATTAAAGGACCGTTCTGATTCCTCGAAAGGAAAAACCTTTTCCACCTATGCCTTCTCTCTTCCAGACCCAAACACTTACCTTTTTCCACAAGAAACCTCGCCACATCAACATTCCAGGATCTCGCGACCTCGTGAAAAATCGTCTGACCGTTGGTGTCCATGCAGTTGATATTCGCACCATCCTGTACAAGCGACTCGACAAACTCGAAATTAAATACATCGTCTTCCTTGTTGGACTTGGCAAGATTTGCAAGATACTGCAGGAGGGCTTGGTCCCTTACGTTGTCAGTAGAATCCTGATCATCTTCCTCCCGCTTCCCAAGTTCACTGTCAAGGACTGCGTAGGTTGCCGTGTTCGGCCGTTTGTCTTCTGCAGATGACAAGAAAAGACGCGGCACAGGTTAGTGGAATCAAAAATTATATTTCTCAACTGTTTTTGTCCTAACCCACCCTGTCAAGGTGGTACAAAACAAACAGGCAAACAAACTCGTTGAACTAAATGATTGCGGAAGAAACCTGTCGTCTATAATCTATCGTGTGAAAATAATACAGTTTTAGGATCAAAATTAACACTAGGTTTATGGTTGAGAAAAGTTCTAGGACCCAATTTAAAATAGCAGTGCTCCCAACTTGGAATGCAAGCGTTTGTATACAAGACGTGATAATCTGTATTTCGCCGTTGTAAAACAGAGCTACAGCGACGTCTAAAACGTCCGTGAGATTTCAATTATTAATTTCTGCTATTTTCTTGCATTAATGTGATATTATTAACTGTTCTCGCTGCACTTTCGTTCTGCTTTGTTGAAGTTCTTAATAACAGTAGTTATAATAGACCTTTCCCCTTTTGAGTGAAATTTTGATCTAGACAAGTCTGAACAAAAATTTCATCACAGCTTGAAAGAGCATCACAAAATTAGTTATATTCCGAAGTTTCGTTGCAAAATGTTGTGAAATGCGGATAATCATATGGGATAATATCGCCTTGCGAAGTTTGCCGTTTTTCAGTCATTTTGCATTACAAACGGGAAATTGATAATCAGATGATCAAACTGATTATCAATTTCCCGTTTGTAATGCAAAATGACTGAAAAACGGCAAACTTCTCAAGGCTATATTATCCGCATTTAATATTACTAATTTTGTGATGCTCTTTCAAGCTGTGATGAAATTTTTGTCCAGGCATATCTAGATCAAAATTTCACTCATAAGGGAAAGGTCTATTAGGTTGCTTTGCTTAAGTTCGCTATTATTTCGAAAAAAACACCTGCTACTTGAATCAATAGCGAGGCCAGAGGTCATGTTGGGCTAGCCTGCATGGCAGGCGGTTCCTAAAATTGGTTAAATTTTCCTCTAGTCACACAATTTTTTTGTTGTTGTTCTCTTTGCATGAATTTCACCGTGAAATCGCTGTAAATGGCCATTCCGGACTTTAAAAATTATTCCGGACCCCCTGGAATGTTCGAGTATGAATACTCAAATTTCCTCAGCCTCGTCACTGACTTGAATGTACTCATGAAAAAAACCAACTGAATTTCATACACTGTCAACATGATCTCTTCTCAAAATTAAGGCTATGTCTTAATTGTAAAATTTTTGAAAATTAAGGATGGCTTAAATTTGAAATTCTCCAAAATTAAGGCATAGCATAGCCTTAATTTAACAATACCACAATCATTAGACAAGACTTCTTGCTATAAAAGTAATGGCCTTAAAAAAAAAGTCGCCAGATTTAAATTTGGATCGGATTGGGGTGGGCTTCGGATGAACTTCTCGTGAAAGTCTTTTTATCTCTTGATGAACTTCTCGTGAAAGTCTTCCGTGAAAGTCTTCTTATCTCAAAGCTCAAACCTACTTTGAATCAGCAAGGTAGCTCCATTCCTCTCTCACTTCTCTGACTTCTTTCCTTACCCCCATCCTCCGCATTCCTATTACCTTGTAATCTGATATTGTAAATAGTAATTTATTCATATTTGTAACTCATTGTCATTCTATATTCATTTACTCTGAAGATGTCTTAAGTTAAAGACGAAACGTTATAGTACTTTTCAAATAAATTTTATGTATATATCCTTGTCGATATTGCTCTTTTGCGTACGTTATGCTGGGCATTAATTTTTATATTACGATTACGATTCCCGCCTGGTTCATCACTTGCAAGTATTTGGATTAGAGTTAGGGGTTAGGGGTTAGAGGTTAGGGTGGCGGTTAGGTTTAAAATTAAGGCAATGTCTTAATTTGAACGCTTTTTACAATTAAGACATAGCCTTGACTTTCGGAAGAGATCGAGCTGTGCAGGTATTCACAAATTCAGGTAATGTAACCCCATTCTCGTACCCAGAGCCCTTCTTAAGCGCGTAAAAAGGGCTCTGGGTACGAGAATGATTTAACCCCTACCTGGAACCTACCTGGTATATCTTCCATCAGCATGATTTCGTACAATTTCTTCGTCTCCCATTGAGCGTAACTTCGTCTTGTGTACTTTTTGTCTGGCTCGTCTGGTTCGTCCGTTTCTAAACACAATACAAGATTACAAAGACTCCATAATGTCCCCTTGGTAAATGCACTCGTTTGCAAACTGTAGCCATTCCGAATTTGATGAGTGGACTGGGGGCGAGTGCTAAAAAGTGCCCAAATTAAGAAATGAACCAAATCACTAAAAAGACCACGTCGAAATTAGTAAGTATGCTAAGGTCTGAAGACGTTTACATGAATACCCTTCGAATAATAAGCTTTCGAAAATCGCGATATTTACTACGAAATGTACTGCATTTTTTGTTTTTGGAGACGCGCGTCCCCAAAACAGTCTTTTAATCAGTAACTTCACAATTTTCGAAAGTTGTATACTTACTAATTTTCGTTGTATACTTACTAATTTTGAGGTGGTCTTTTTAGTGATTACCAAATCACTAAAAAGACCGCCTCAAAATTAGTAAGTATACAAAGGTTGAAGACGTTTACATGAATGCTTATTTTGAAAGACGTTTACATGTCAAAGTGTTGAACACCTGAATTTTTGAAAACTGTATCGAGCCACCTTATTAAAAAACTTTTAATGACTTTTATCTTCTCGTGTTTTCACCACTGGAAGATAAAAGTCGTATCTTTTCCCCGCCGGCGCCGTGTAATATCCTATATTTAGGCCTACACGCGGTAAAAATAACCATTTTTGAGCCGAAAGTTGTTATTTTCACCGCGCGTAGTATACTAAAATACTGAAAATTCGCTAATTTCACAACTTAGGGCTATATTTTCCGTATTTTACAACATTTCGCAACCAAACTTTGCAATTTTACTAATTTTAGGATGCTCTTTTGAGCTATAGTGATAGATTTCGTCTTTCTTGTCCGAGATAAAAAATTAGTCGATATAGCTGTCTATTGGTTCTCTCGAATGAGAGTCTCAAAATTCTGATATTTATCGATTACCTGAAATTTTCTTGGCCGGATCCTCCAATTTCGTGCCAAATGTAACAGCCTGCAATTTGTTTTTGCCATTCAGAAGACCGGCTTTCTCGTTGTTGCCAGACATCCCACCCTAGCAACAACGCCATACATAATTTATCGTTATATATTATCTTAGTTTGGCCTTAAAAAGCCAGATTAGCGCTAACCCTCGGCTAAAATTTAACCTGCTGTTTTAGTTTGTATATTTCTGCACGTCCCTTTATTTCAAAACGTCGGAGAAGAAAACTCCTACTGACCCAGACAAGATTTCTAAAGAAATATATCCAAATTTAGAAACAAGCTGTTCGAATGTCGACTAGTTCGAACAACCGCCTCTGGTCGTCAATTAAGCGACTTCAATATAACTATGTAGCTAAACAAATCTATGGGTTAAAATCAAGACAAGATTTTATATGCTGATATTTCGACTATATGTATTTCAAAGCCTTGTATTTCCAAATGCTTGTCTTCGGCATTTGTTGTTTTGTTTATATTCTATATTTTTTCAAATGATCGGCAGGAAATGGATTTTTATAGATATAGTTCTGGCACTTCCAAATGGAAGAAGGCTGTCTATGGATATCACATGCAAATGATTTTCGCGAGAGATCCTGTGAGAGCCATCCCTTCCGTTCCAGGCTCGCATCGACTGCGGGGCTCTGGTGAGACAGTCCTCCGAGAGCAAGCGCTTTTCATCTCTGAAATCGTGGACTCGATTCTCTCGCTGTTCCAGACTCCAACTCATGTAAAGAGTCTGTTAACGCTCTGCCGAAAGTCGTGAGTTTTCTCCGCGCGCTCCGGTTTCCTCCCACAGGGAAGTTGAAAGGGTGCCAGGATAAACACAGTTAAGAAAGTAATATCAATTTATTAAAAGATACCAATTTTGCAGTTAAAAACTGAATTACACTGCCACTGAATTACACTGCCTATGCATATGAGTAAAAATGTCTACAAACACTCCTTATTTAATTTACAAATTGTTAATTTTGATAGTTCTAGGTAAGAATGTAGCTAAACAATTATTATTTAAAACTAGAGTTGTAGACCTTACTACCGGCCATAATAAGACTATTAGCAAACCTACTTGTAACTTGTCCTATGCTTTGGTATTGAAAGACAGTTATTATTACGTAGAGCCGGAATTGAATATCCTGTTTTATGTCTTGGGGGAACGAGAGAATGGAGTTTATGGGATGTTTCATCACATATTGGAGCGAAACGTTTCTCGCAAATGGTCTTTCTCCGCAGGAACAGTGACACCACCCCCAGCACGTACCAACGCATCTTCATATTTGAGATCTGGAAAGATTATACGAAGGGCTGTGCGTTGAATACTCTCGATCTCGTCGCTCAAATATTGCGCCAAGCTATAGTGCCATACCTCGCACGAAAATTCTAAGATTGGTCGAACGCAGGTAGTAAAAACCCGGACTAACTTGCCCGCTGGTATAGAGGATCTCTTAAGTACTCGTAAGGCATACAACCGCTTCGAAGCTTTCTTGCAGATATAATCAACGTGCTCGATCCATTTAAGATCTTTAGAGATCATGACACCAAGTAATTTAGCGTGCGGGACCACGACTATATCATGATTGTTGTAAAATATATAGGCCTATAGAAATCTTAAACTCAAACCTTGATCAGTCTTAGAGGACGCACGGTCTGAAGAATTAAACCCCGGGTGTCATGGTATTAAGATTATACTAAGAAAAACAGACATTGCATCTTCTATAAATTATAGATAACTTACTTGATTGTTTCTTAATTTTGCACAAAACCACAATCTTCGACGTTTCTGCAATTTAAAAGCTAGTCTCACTGCTGCTTAAATCGTAGTGCACAATGGGCAAATAGCTACTTGGAATGCAGCTAGCATTTAACCTTATGTCCCCTCCCATTAAATTTTTTTTTTAAACAAAGATGGCCAAACAGCACGTGTCTTCCCGCTTTGTTTTTATTATCCAATTAATAATATTTTGGGATCGGTCAATATTTATGGCGGACGGTGGCGCCGAAGAGAAAGGTTTTTTCTTTGTAAAATTTTTGGCGATCCAACCATTAAAAGTTAATTTTTTTTACCCAACCTCAATTAAATATCAATAAAAAATAAATTCCCACCTCCAAAAATGTTACAAAAGGATACCGTTCAGTTGTCACACATGTCCTTCACCACTTCTGTGACATGATTTTGATAACTGCTTGTGCAATTTTCTGCGGTCTAAAGTTTCATGTTGTCTGCACATGTACTTTCTATGGAGACACCATTTGCCTCCTGACAAATCGGAAAATGATCAAGATAGTGACTGATTGATTTACATATTGCATTGACATATGAGTGTTGACATTGCTTTTTAGTCCTCAATATTTGAGTGAGTCATGCTTTGGAAATGACAATAAATTTTTATTACCCAACCCTTGAGTTGTTTTGTTTTTCATTTAATTACCCAACCTTTTGCCGACATAAAATTGTTTACCCAACTCTCTATAGTTAGTTCAGCAACGTCTGTTCATGTCATTATAACTATATTACCCTTTTAATAATGTTTTATTAACTAAATGTATATGTTTCAGGGGATGACAAGCTTCGCACATTGGTTAAAGACAACTTAAATCTTAACGCTCGCTTTTGATTGGCCACTTGGCAGGTTTGTGAATATATAATAAAATAGGCTTTTGAGTAGCAGTTGACTTTGGACAGCGGGATGGAATCAAAAGCATGCAGTCAAAATAGTTTTCCCACCTCAAACAAAGCAAATTTTCTTCTAAAATATGAATATTTTTTATTGCGTCTTTAATAAATTGGCTTATATGTACAAAATGTAATAGACACTGCCCGAATTTGCTGGCGAAAGCTACTTATTCACATTGGATTACATTTTCCGCCTCGACTTCAAGGCATCAGTGTGCACTCAAACAAATTGGGGAATTGTCTATTTGACTGAATATAAAAATTAAACTATCTAATTTACTGATCTATCTGGCTTAAGCTTTACGCTACCTCCTCAGACCGTAATTTGAATCCCTATTTAATTTTGTAAGGCAGAATATGCCCGTTCGCAGATTGGAAATTGAAAAGCTTAATTAAGCGAGTCATAAAAAATCAATGGTAAATAGTGCCAATCGTACAGGATGTGTTCGCACTAGTACTGCTTGTTCCCAGTTGTTGTGACAAGTCTGGAACACGTTGTTACAAGGTTGATGACGGTAACAGACTCGCTACAAGTTGTTCCAACAAGACTAGTACAGCCTGTTCGTAACAAAGGCCTACTTTGGGTGCCAACGTCGCCGTTATTATGTGCAACATTGTACGACATTAGGCGACATTGGCAATTTTGAAAGAAAAGTAGTTTGCGCCGCTGGGCGAAACTGGGCCACAGGGAGCGACATTAGGCGAGGTGTTAGGCAAAGTTCAAAAATTTGGTGCACATGGGCGACATTAGGCGACCTTGGCCCCCAAAGTAGGCCTTAACAAGGTGTTACGAGCTTGTTGTCATGTTAACAACTTATTAACACACTTGCTTATTAACACACTTGTTTATTAATAGCTTGTAATTGTCATGTTAACAACTTATTCACTTATTATTGCACGTCGTTACGTGCAGACGATATCAGACTTGTTTGGAACGACTTGTTGCGAGTCTGTTGGCTCAACCTTGTTACAAGATGATAACTGACGGACTTGTCAAAACTGGGAACAAGCAGTGCGAACACATCTTAGAGCCCATGTCTGCTCAAGAAAATTTTTCGCAGAAAGAAAATTTTGGTTGGCCGACACAAATGTTCGGTCGGAAAAAGCTTTTGAAGTTGAAACTTTTAACAATGATATTTTCTGTCCGTGGAAATTTTTCTTTGGTGGGAAAAGGCCTTTAAGCTTGTACTATACGTGACCGGCTGTCGGACCGACGTCATTACAAAGATAATATTTGGTTAACTATTAGTGACGTTTTTGTCAACACGAATGTCACCTGAGAATTGGCATAACTAATTTTGGCTGCATTTTGCATAGGAAGCAAACAATTTTAAAAATCTTATGTTTTGTCATATGTGTTGAAGATTATATCAGCATTGTATTTCTTGTCCGGAACTAGAGACAATTTCACACGAGTTATCATCGAACCAGGAGTCGTTCTTTTTCTCTTTGACTTTTTCCTTCGGTTTTTGCAACGAGACGAACTCGTTATTGTCCACAATTTCACAATGTCTAAGATACTGCGAGAACAACTGCCTTGCTTTGCTCAAAACCTTCTCCGCGTCATGCTTTCTCACTTTTTTATCGAAAGAAGACGCCAAAGAGTTATAGTCTTGTTCGCTAAAGACCCGTTCGCGGTGAAGAATTAGAATGGCGAGGCATAAAAATAATGTGAATGGGTTTCCATCGCCTAAATGATACGGGTCGGGCAGGGAGACCAATTCGAGTTTCCCGCCAAAATCGTTTATATTCAGCTGAGCGTATTCGTCCTCGTCAGAAAAATTCTCATCATTGTTCGCGTTGACGAGCGATTGATAGGAGTATGGTAACGAGTTGTATCCCTCTGACCGCAATACCGCACTGGAGTGATTGCATAATTTGTTCGCGGTGTTGAACGTTTCTCCACTTGGGGACTGGGGGGCATCTTTGGGGGGAGGGGGCAGCAGAGAGCTCCAGATCGCTTCCATAATATTTAAGGCATCGTCGAATTGGAATTCTCGCTTGAGGTCTAACACTAGCCATCGATAGCAGAAGAACATATCATCTGCTTCGACTTTCAGAAGATACTTGTATAATTCCGGATCAAATTTTTGTACGAGAAGAGTTAAGTGGTCAAACTTCAAAGACATCGCCTTGCCGTCAGGGAGGAAATGTTTCTTACAGCGAGCCATGAGCGTGGAGAAACATGTAAACGTCACCGCTTCGTCCTCCATGACAACCAGAAGCGGGGCGGCCAGGTCGCTCATGCCCTGTGCGTACGAAACATCCGGGTTCAAGATAGCATAAGTTACCAGGATGTTGAATAATGACGTCAGACGCTGATGCTCATCAGGGACATCGAAGTACGGATAGGTTCGGTCAGTCCGCCTGACATCTTTCCAAACCATGTCCCTGAGGGGTTCGGTCTTTGGTAACTGGTCTTCCCTTTTCCAAGAGGCCCGTATCTGCCAGTACACCTTAGATTTCATTAACAAATATTTCTCTCTGTCTATTTCAGTCAAATCCGGGGGGAACACGTTCAAGAGATGTTTCCAAACGTCTTTTCGTAAGGTCGGTTCCACCCCCCAGTTGAAGACAATGACCCACAATTCCTGTGGGTTTATCAAACGGCCTTCGTCATCAAAGTGTGCCAACCAATCAGATTCGCCCAAAGGACTCTTCCGGCTCGTGTCTATAAAAGCACTGGTGATCTGGTATAACGTGTTCTCGACTCGCTTTCGAAGAGCCGAGGCTATAGGTAGGGCTAGTCTGTTACCAAATGATCTGATATCCTTAATCATAGGGATGTCATAACCGTCTAATACTATCCAATCTTCACTCTCGTTTGGTACCACAGCTGTAAAATAGAAGTTAGTATCGTCCATTAGGCATTAGTCACTAACCCAGTAAGTCCAGGGTTCGGATTTTAACAGTGTGCAATGTGCAATTTGCATGTCGTTCTGTACCAAATAGTGAAAATTGCACATCACTTTTCCAAACGGCAAACGATGTGCAAAAAAAATCAGACTTTGAAACAATACAATATGTACTGTGTGTCTATTTGTTTTTCGCTAGTGAAGAGGCGTACTGACATTTTATTTTCTTAACACTTCATGACACGACACTAAAGCCTTAAGCAGTGAACTTTGGCAGCTAATAGACCTTTCCCCTTATGAGTGAGATTATGATCTAGATATGCCTGGACAAAAATTCCATCACATCTTGAAAGAGCATCGCAAAATTAGTAATATTCCGAAGTTTCGTTGCGAAATGTTGTAAAATGCGGATAATATAGCCTTGCGAAGTTTGCCGTTTTTCAGTCATTTTGCATTACAAACGGGAAATTGATAATCAGATGATCAAACTGATTATTAATTTCCCATTTGTAATACAAAATGACTGAAAAACGACAAACTTCGCAAGGCTATATTATCCGCATTTTACAACATTTCGCAACGAAACTTCGGAATATTACTAATTTTGTGATGTTCTTTCAAGCTGTGATGAAATTTTTGTCCAGACTTCTCTAGATCAAATTTCACTCAAAAGGGGTAAGGTCTATTGATGCTGTGTATGTTTTTATTTAGGCTTTTAGCGTTAAACATTTTCCACCCAAAATGGCAGAAGTCAGACAATTATGCCATATGAAGAGTTGTGACGTCACTTGCAGCAACTGAATACAATGATCAACGTAGAAATTCTTACTTTCATCTGTAACATGGATGCTCAGTTCCAGGTAAGGAGAATTTACTGTTGCCACTACCGCCTCTTGTAGATCCTTATCAGAGGTAATAGTGAAATTTAACAGGCTGTTCCCACATGAGAGTCTGTGTGAAATTTCCAAATTCCTGTACACAAAAAAAGAATCGATCAGGGGGGGAGGGAACCAGTCTCATTCAGGTCAGGCAAGAAGAGTATGTATATTAATTAACTTATTTCAAAGAGAGGTGAGCTTAACTCTTTAAGTTGCATTGTACCCTAATGTACCCTACTCTACTATTTTACTCTGTCTGATGCCAGATTATTTTAGGCCTGTCTCAAACGTCGCTCTTCTCTTGTGCTGAACACAATAGATAATCAGCTGAAATACCTCAGTTTGGCACATGAGAAATGAGAAGCGCGATATTTGAAACGCGACGTCTGACACCAGACAATTTTACTTGTCAGGGGGAGAGTGCTGCCACTCGATGGGTTAATCTGCCAATGCATCTTGTTAACCCTTTAAGTGGCAATGTGCCCTGCTTTATTACTTTACTCTGTCCATCGACAGACAATTTTACTTGTCAAGGGGGAATGCTGCCACTTAATAGGTTAATGAAACTCCTGTTAACCCTTTAAGTGGCAATGTGCCCTGAAGCATCCTACTCTATTATTTTAACTCTGTCTAATGCCAGATTATCTTACTCTGTCTAATGGCAGACAATTTTACTTGCCAAGTGGAGAGCACTGCCACTCAATGGCAGTGGTGTAACTTTACTTTTTTTATTGAATCATCAGACAATGGGGAACCTAGGTAGGGATATAAATTAAGGGGACAACATGTCGACCCGTTCTCCCACTGCTCTCTATGGCTATGTTATACTGCCTCAGATCTAACTTTGGCCCGCAAAGAACAAAATTTGAAATCGAGTACATCTGTACATGCACTATAAAAAAATTTATCCGACAATGAAAACATAAACTTAAAGATGCCTTTTTGTGGCAAGGCAATATGCCCAATTGGGCAAGCAAGTTAAAATGTTTACCATGATATTCACTTGCCCGAGGCAAGTGTTAAGTTACACCTCTGAATGGGTTAATCACACATCTGCAAATGCATCTTGTTAACCCGGCCTCTACATTAAGTGGCAATGTGCCCTGACAAGCCCTACTTTATCATTTTACTCTGTCTAACGCCAGACAATTTTACTTGTCATGGGGAGAGTGCTGCCACTCAATGGGTTAATCACACTATCTGGCAATGCATCCTGTTAACCCATTTATTATTAGCATGACAAAATTACTGATTGGTTGAGAGGAGTACAATTATTTCATTAATTGTACTGCAGTACAATTAATGATTTTCCCAAAACAAACAAAATGGCGGAAAGGTATTTTAAACACAAACGTGAACTGAAATTGCCCCAGAGGAACTAGATACGAACAAAAGCACCAAATTTTGCTTTAACAAAAGAACTAAATGAAAATACGAACAAAAGCACAAAGTTTTGGTTAAACGTCTGGCAGGACTGGGCTTTGGCGAGAGAATATGATGTTGACATCGAGAAGTATCCAATTTTGTCATGCTAATAATAAACAAGTAATCATGCGCTGTTGCTCGTACAATTAGGGATTAATAGTACTCAGCCCCGGCGGCTCGTCCAATTTTGGCAAAATTTTCCAAACATCACACTATTAATCCCTAATTGTACTGGCCATCGCACAATTACGTATACTGAGTGGCAGCACTCTCCACTTGACAATAAAATCGTCTGGCGTTAGACAGAGTAAAATACTAAAATAGGGTGCATTGCCACTTAAAGGGTTAATTGATATACAATAAACTGAATGGGTTACTTCTATGTGTGACATGACTAAGATAATTTCCTTTACCCTACTTTTCTATTCCAAAAACCGTCTCGAAAAATACGTATTATAAACAACTAATATTAACGGTACAGGCGATAACATTTATGACTTTTTAATAAACTCATAATCGTCAGTATTAAATACCTTTTTATATAAAATGCCCTTTGAATCCATTTATACAAATCGGCGAATGTAGTGATGTTGGGGTCGATTACGAATCGACGAATATCGTTGGGATTTTCTTCCAACTAGAAACAGAATACAAAATAAATTAGCTAAAAAAGGTGTAATATCCTATTTTAGCAAAATCAAATTACAAACTTGATCACTGGCCACGTAGCTTAAGCTTATACAAACAGGTACTTTCATGGCACGAAAGCTAGCGATCAAAACGTTTAACTTTTATATACTTACGGCTACTTTGACCCGCACAGCATCTATACCGCCTACGGAACTCATTTTCAAATAATTTTTCAAAAATACTCCATAATTTGGAAATAGTTTTTGCGAAACATTTTTGTTGTGATCTTGATATTGTTTGCTAATTTGATTCTGCGTGGGCGTCCCTCAACATCGCGCGTGTACAAGGTCACGCAAGAAAAACCGCATCATGGGATAAAACCACTGGATAAAACCATTGATAAAACGGGCTTCGCAATGACGATGTTTATTAATTTTGCGTTAATAATCCTTTTAATTTTAGCGATAATGTTTCGAAAGTATTTTTCCTGCAGTGAAATTTTGAATTTTATCAACTGATCATTTTCAGTCGTTTGCGTACAAAAACATGAAGCCAGCTTGCGTATTTAACTTTTAACTTAATGACAATCTTCCCTGTAGGCGAGCCTGTAAACAACGAATTAAAATTTTCACTTTAGCCCTCGTTGACGTTGGCAGTTAATGAGCAATTTTTGTTGTTGTTTTGGGGTCGAACAAGGATGTTAATGTTTGACCATCTGTGCACTGTTTATTATAAAATATTTATGGTTTGAAAAGTGACAACTATCAGTCAGTTTTAAAGCTACATTGTCAGCATGATCTTGGATCACTGTGCTTGCTGTCACACTGTTGGACTTCAATGAATTCTGGTTACTGATAGATCCTTGAAAGTAAGTACTTTATACTTGAAAATTTCAATTCTTACAAATCCTTCAAAACTTAGTATTTGGCATGCAAAACTCCTACTGTGATCACAGAAACTTTGATAGTGTAAACCAGCTTTTAAACTGACACAAATTATTTTGCAATTTACGTACGGGGTCCAACTTTTCCTCTATATATATTTCAATGTCGAGAGGCTATTATATATAATGGGTTCGATTCTCGCTGTTGACTCATGACACTTAATATGTGACAAGAGTCACTCAACGCTTCACCGAAATTCGTGAGTTTATCCGAATTCCTCCCACAGGGAAACATGACGGGGTGATTTGGGAAATACCATCAAATGGCATGGAAACTATATATAAAGACCGTCTTACACTATACACAACTAGTTTAGAGTTGATGAGAGTTGTGTAGATATTACCGCGCACATATACATATACATGATACAAATTACTTTATTTAACCACGCTAGCCTCAACAACCCCGTTAAGGTCCATACAGACAGACCGGACGCGATTTGGCAACGCGATGCGAATTTTCAATTTTCAATGACATTTAACTTCAATATTTTTCTATGTTTTTTAAATATTCGGAACCACTTGAGCAATTTTAGCTATTTTGGTCTGCATATCTTGTAAATTTTTTATCCGTTGACGGTTTTATTTGTTTTCGAAAACTGAAAATTCGTGTCGCGTTGCCGAATCGCGTCGGGTCTGTGTGGGCCTTTAGGAGGCTGATTTTCATGTATGAGGGGCGTGAAATATACAATTAACTATTTACAAAAAAACAAAGAAATATGAAAAAATAAGACTATATTGCGGGAATAGGGAACAATGATTTTTAATGCACGATCATACACGAGCAAGTCTCAACTCATTCTTTGTTTTGGTATCGATTTGAAAGAGCTTAAGGATTCAGAAAGATTATTGGGGAAGATTATTCCAATGCAAGGCGCCGTTATAACTGAAGCACCTCTTGCCGAATTCTCTTTTCGGCATAGGTGGTGCTAAATCAGTTTCTATATTTCTGAGATATGTATTATGTCTTTCATGATTAGATTGAAGTGCTTCTTTAAGATTGTTTGCGGTGTGGCCATTCAAAATTTTATCAGATTAAAATAGATTTGTGGTATAGTTTCGTCTTTCTTCGAGAGGTTTCCAATTCAGATTCTCGAGTAAATCAGATGACCGAATATCGTAAGTTGCCGCCCTTTACCGGGAGGGGCAAGGGGGGCAAAGGTGCCCTTTCAATTTAATGTATTGCCTTGGCGAAATAGCGAATTGTCAGAAATGTTAGTGCAATTCTTTTACGAATTTGCTTCAGAAAACGCAAGAAATGCAGTCATTGTCATTGAGCTTCAAGAATAGCACAATCGCCTGGCGGAGAACCCCTCACACCCCTATCATCCAATCAATAGAAGACATGATTAGGCGAAGTTCGACTCCCGGTGTTTCGCAAACATCTCTTAGTATATATCAATTCAAAAGTGCCCTTTCACGAAAATCTGCCCCCCCCCCCTTGCCTTCACATCTTTACGGCGTCCCTGGCCTTAGCTCTTGCATCGTATATAGCTGTGCTCCGTGGTCAGACTATAGACATGAGTCGTGATATGGTCGTGAGCCATGATTGTTTACACTATCAATATTTGTGTGTTAGCTGTTCTTAATTGCTCTTGGAAATACGTCTAAAGCTGGGTTTTCGACGAGGACCATGAACGAGGCATTAATTTTATTTGTTTGCTATAGATCGTCATGATATAAACTATGTCTGCAACTAACGAAAACTCGACGTTGCTTCGTGGAAAGAAGAAGAGTAAAGGTGTTACAATTGACGTGGAAGATCCGACAGATATGACAGGTAGAACTTGTATTTGTTTATGAAGATGTGTTCTTTAGGTCCGATGTAAAAAAGTATCCTAGTTTGTTATCAGCGCTGCCCGCAATCCTTTTCCGTGTCGTGGAATTATTTTTTTTATCAAAAAAGGTTATTGTTTTCAGCAAATAACTCGAACGGTCCGTGCGCGCAGAAGCAGCGATAATAACGGCAGAAAACGCAGAAACACTTTTTAAGAAACGAAAACAATTTTAATATTCCTCTTGTTAAAATGAATAAGACTAAACCTCATTAATTTATCTTTGCCATGTGCACTAAGTTCAATAAGTCATGTTGAATATGCTAGCTGTAATTTTTAATATTTTTAATGTAAATAGATAGTATAGATGCAACACTTTAATACATACTATTTTGTAACAATTATGTAATTCAGCTTTTGCTGCGATGTAATTTGAGTAAATCCTAATTCCTTCCTAATTCTTAACAAAACTAAGCGACGAATCCAGCTTTTCTTGACATCGAACGGTGTAGTTAACCCAAACAGTATGATAACTTCTATTTTGTCAACCACTTTTGCAACTGATTGTTATTTTATACTGTTGTGACTTTTTACAAACATAGTTATGATATAACTATTAGATTTAAATGCTGTTCGTGGGAACATGGCGTCGTTATTCTTCGCATGCAATTCAAATGAAGGCGACTTGGCATGGCGTAATTGAGGAAACGTGTGGCTGTGACGTGCATCTTGAGTTTAATTAAAAAATAATATTTCGAAAAGTGCATTAGCTATTTAGCTTTCGAAAATATTATTCCATACGATTGCTTTGAACATATTTCCCCGTGTATCCACTGTAAATTTGATTCGGTAAAAACAATTTAAATATCTGCCTGCCCCCACCTATTGTTTTATATATCTGCTACTGATGATAAACCGAGATATTTTTACATGCATGACCTCCCGGCCCGGTCCAACGATCGATGATGAGACCGTTAATGAGAGTTGGCTGTCCCGCGTATTCCGTTAACACCGCTGAGGGGATATTTCAAGCTCTAGATTAACAACAACAAAAAAGCGGTTTGATGAGTGCTCTGACTATGTTTTTAGTTCAAATAGAATGCATGATAATGTTGGGAAAGCATTAAGAACAGCTAACCAAGTTCGCGTGACTGCCCATGATCGAGGGCCCAGGCTTTACTCGCGTATTCGTTGTTTTATTGATGCTTAGAAATTGATGAGCAGGATAAAGAGAAGGTCAATACGAGAAGAAACAAAGATGGATGGGAGAAGAGGAAATTATGTGAGGTGATGCTATTGGAAGAAATCCCAGGTACATTATAATGATTTTGAGTTTGTAGAACATTGACAAAATAGGCAAATGGAATAAAGTCGGTGTTCAATGGTCCAGTGTTCAGGTATCAAACTAAAAGTTGGTTTCTGTGATCACAGTAGGAATTTTGCATCGATAAATTCTAAGTTTTAAAGAATTTGTAAGAAATGTTTGAGGAAACTTACTGAGTGTTATAAAGGATGCTTTACACTATCAAAGTTTCTGTGATCACAGTAGGAATTTTGCATCGATAAATTCTAAGTTTTAAAGAATTTGTAAGAAATGTTTGAGGAAACTTACTGAGTGTTATAAAGGACGGTTTACACTATCAAAGTCCCTGTGATCACAGTAGGAATTTTGCATGGGTAAATTATAAGTTTTGAAGGATTTGTAAGAAATGTTTGAGGAAACTTACTGAGTGTTATAAAGGATGGTTTACACTATCAAAGTTTCTGTGATCACAGTAGGAATTTTGCATCGATAAATTCTAAGTTTTAAAGAATTTGTAAGAAATGTTTGAGGAAACTTACTGAGTGTTATAAAGGACGGTTTACACTATCAAAGTTTCTGTGATCACAGTAGGAATTTTGCATTGGTAAATTTTAAGTTTTGAAGGATTTGTAAGAAATGTTTGAGGAAACTTACTGAGTGTTATAAAGGATGGTTTACACTATCAAAGTTTCTGTGATCACAGTAGGAATTTTGCATTGGTAAATTCTAAGCTTTGAAGGATTTGTAAGAAATATTTGAGAAAACTTACTGAGTGTTATAAAGGATGGTTTACACTATCAAAGTTTCTGTGATCACAGTAGGAATTTTGCATTGGTAAATTCTAAGTTTTGAAGGATTTGTAAGAAATGTTTGAGGAAACTTACTGAGTGTTATAAAGGATGGTTTACACTATCAAAGTTTCTGTGATCACAGTAGGAATTTTGCATAGGTAAATTTTAAGTTTTGAAGGATTTGTAAGAAATGTTTGAGGAAACTTACTGAGTGTTATAAAGGATGGTTTACACTATCAAAGTTTCTGTGATCACAGTAGGAATTTTGCATAGGTAAATTCTAAGTTTTGAAGGATTTGTAAGAAATGTTTGAGGAAACTTACTGAGTGTTATAAAGGATGGTTTACACTATCAAAGTTTCTGTGATCACAGTAGGAATTTTGGATAGGTAAATTCTAGTTTGAAGGATTTGTAAGAAATGTTTGAGGAAACTTACTGAGTGTTATAAAGGATGGTTTACACTATCAAAGTTTCTGTGATCACAGTAGGAATTTTGCATAGGTAAATTCTAAGTTTTGAATGATTTGTAAGAAATGTTTGAGGAAACTTACTGAGTGTTATAAAGGATGGTTTACACTATCAAAGTTTCTGTGATCACAGTAGGAATTTTGCAAAGGTAAATTCTAAGTTTTGAAGATTTGTAAGAAATGTTTGAGGAAACTTACTGAGTGTTATAAAGGATGGTTTACACTATCAAAGTTTCTGTGATCACAGTAGGAATTTTGCGTTGGTAAATTCTAAGTTTTGAAGGATTTGTAAGAAATGTTTGAGGAAACTTACTGAGTGTTATAAAGGATGGTTTACACTATCAAAGTTTCTGTGATCACAGTAGGAATTTTGCATTGGTAAATTTTAAGTTTTGAAGGATTTGTAAGAAATGTTTGAGGAAACTTACTGAGTGTTATAAAGGATGGTTTACACTATCAAAGTTTCTGTGATCACAGTAGGAATTTTGCATTGGTAAATTCTAAGTTTTGAAGAATTTGTAAGAAATGTTTGAGGAAACTGACTCAGTGTTATAAAGGATGGTTTACACTATCAAAGTTTCTGTGATCACAGTAGGAATTTTGCATTGGTAAATTCTAAGTTTGAAGGATTTGTAAGAAATGTTTGAGGAAACTTACTGAGTGTTATAAAGGATGGTTTACACTATCAAAGTTTCTGTGATCACAGTAGGAATTTTGCATTGGTAAATTTTAAGTTTTGAAGGATTTGTAAGAAATGTTTGAGGAAACTTACTGAGTGTTATAAAGGATGGTTTACACTATCAAAGTTTCTGTGATCACAGTAGGAATTTTGCGTTGGTAAATTTTAAGTTTTGAAGAATTTGTAAGAAATGTTTGAAGGAACTGACTCAGTGTTTAACATTAAATCAGTTCCCTCAAACATTTACAAATCTTTCAAAACTTAGAATTTAACAAAATGCCTACCTCTCAGTTCTAAACTGTTCTTTCTAGGGGTCCAGTAAGAGCCATCTTTCATTGATCCAATGTTACGGTTAAACCAGTGGCGTAACGAATGAAGAGGGGGCCCTTAGGCATATTTGGTGTGGGAGTCCCTGTTGACTGTTGTCATTGTTTGACTGAGATATTATATTTATATTGAATATTTATAGAATGTTCTGGAAAATTCCGTGTCTATAACAGTGACAATAACAGTCTCCAACACATATAACAACTTTTAAGGCTAACTTGATAATAATAATAATTTAATGTGCAAAAATTTACAAACAAAGATTATACGTTACATTACCTGCAAGTAGCCAAGCTAGTCGTGGCAGGCAATGAATTTAAATGTAGGTAGTGTAAGTAAGTTTAGAAAAATATTTTTACAAATAAGTGAAGGAAAGTATATAAAGTTAATTGATTATGAAAAATATTGTAATTTTAAATACAGTATTACAGATCTAGCATTACAGAGAAAAGGCAAGAAGCTGAAACATCCTTATCTAGTATTCTATCTCAAAAGATCTAAGGTAATTTAAACCATCATAGTTACAATTGGCAATCTTGCTATTATCATGGGCACATCAACATAGTGATTCTCAGTTGTAAGAATTGTAAAGAGGGCCTGGCACATTTTGTGTTTAAATATCTTTTTACTTTTTGAGCGAAGGCCCTGGTCAATACTTCTGTTTTATTTGAGATGGAATAAAAAAATCAGTTACCGTTGTCGATGGAGGTTTAATTATTTAGCATTATTAATTTTGCATTTTGCCATTGATTCCTAACCTGCATTTTTACGTTTTCTAATTTTCTGGGCGATAGGCCGAGGCTGATTGGGGTCCATAACTGCCGGGGCCCTTAGTTTTTGAACTAACCCTACCCAAAGAGCGTTACGCCCCTGGGTTAAACTCCTGTAACATTTGAACAAAATTCAGTCACCCGATACAGTATCTTGCATGAAATTAGAAAGCCATATTATTATATCAATGTACATAAAAAGTACCATAGTGGTTTGTAGATTTCGTTCCAGAAATCCGTTTACGTCATCATATATTAGTGTCACTGTGCTGTCATGTAATTATTGTAATGTGATTTTTGTTATATGTATTTATGTGAAATATTATAATAGTGATTTTTGTTATATGTATTATTATGTGAAATATTATAATATTAAGCCCAGTTTACACTATCAAAATTTCTGTGATCACAGTAGGAATTTTACATAGGTAAATACAAAGTTTTGATGGATTTGTAAGAAATGTTTGAGGGAGCTGACTCAGTGTTTAACATTAAGTCTGTCTTCTTACAAATCCTTCAAAACTTTTGGAAAATTCCTACTATGCATGATCACAGAAACAAAGGCTTTGATAGTGTAAACCAGGCTTAGTTCTAGTCAAATTAGCCACATTTTATAATTAGTTACCAGTGATAAATTAGTACTTCGGTCACAGAGGATGAAAGACATATATCCACTATGAACGACCATGCACATGACCAAATCTATTTTTGTAGTCCAAAATTAAATTTATCTTTGGCATTTTCTCAAGCATTCTAAAGGCCCACGCTTTTAGTATGATGGATTATTTTTGGCCTTTGTTTGCATTTCTATCACTAAGGTTACAGGAAATGGTGAAACAATTTACAACCCGTAATTAACGTGCTTCAAATACATACATAAATTACCCTCCCAACTAACACAAAGACGTTGATTCCATATTCATCACGTGTGTATTCGTTGAATGAAAATATCCTTGTCAGATTAAGGAAAATTTGTTCGCTTGCTGGTTAGTTCAATTATGATGGAAATTTTTGAACATACTTAAAATTTTTACTTGAAAAAAAAATTTCCCAGCACGAATTAACGTGTTTCAAATACATGCATAAATTGGTCAGAGACATGTATGTTAATAAACGGAAAATGGTTTATCCTAAAATAATCCAATAAAAAAATTCCACACGAAAATATTTCGGTTTAGAGGGTTGGGCCTGGTGCAAAACTTGTGAAATTCAGTATACTCGTACAGAATGAGATCTGTTTATATACTTTTATTGCTAAAATAAAGCCCTCTTTTTACTAAAAAGTAACCATTATTTCCGTTGTCCTCCCACACAATAGAACACCATAACCACACAATCAATCAAGTATGAAATATTTCAGAATTCTCAGTATACAAAGCGCACGCGAGTGGAATGTTGCGTAATTTGTATAACGGATTTTGGATATTGTCATCAGCAGCTCAGTTTTAAGACATAACGATGCATTAGACTATATTGTACATGGATTTTGGTATTAATGATTGGGTAATTTGGTTAATTCTGACTGTAATTACGGTGTATGTGATTCACGTGATTGTCCAAAGGCGATTACAATGGATGAAATTGCCGCCTGGTCCGTGGGGCTTGCCTATTATAGGTATTTATTGATCATTTCGAGAAGGATTGATTATATAGTTTCATTGTAGCTGTGTATAGAAGGTCTATTAAGACCTTGTATAGGAAGACCGTCATTTATTGACCCAACCAGAAGGAAACCTACACTCAGTTTTAGCCGGGTCTAGCCCAACTAAATCGGGATGAATCGTGTCACGAAACAGTCCTCCTGACCTTAAACGGTTGTTTGAATGAACTATATATTGTTGCTGGAATCAAACTTAGCTAATTCAACATTGAAATGTCATTTTGGTATTTTTTAGGATAAATATTAATGCCCAGCATAAAACACGTAAAAGAGCCATAACAAAAATATAATTTAAAATATTTATTTGAAAGCTAACGTTTCGTCTCCATATACTGGTATAACGTATCTCTTCCATATACTGGCGCTCACTCTCTTCAAATTCGCACCCAAATCTCCCGTCTTTGTTCCTCGGCCTTTCCCCATCTTAATATTAGATTCGTTTTTCGTCCAACTTTACGTTTGTCTCAACTCTTCACCTTTAAGGACAAAATTCCTAACGCTTTAAGATCTTGTGTTGTGTATTCCTTCACGTGTCGTTGCTGTTCCGCAACGTATTTGGGCCAAACGGTCCGTCACTTGCACACACGAGTTTCTGAACATTTGGGTGTTTCTCCTCTAACAGGCAGTAAAAGCAGAATCCGACCATGCCTAGTATCCTTTCCCATCTTGATAGCACTGGTCACTCCGCCTCTCTTAATGATTTTAAGATTATTTCTTGTTGCTCTTCTCCAGACGAACTCCTCATTCGAGAAAGTCTTCTCATTAACAAACTCAAACCCTCTCTCAACTTACAGGGCAGCTCGGTCCCTCTACTTCTACTCTGATCCATTCCTCTTTCTACTTTTGTAATATAATATCTTGTAAATAGTTGTAATTTATTCATATTTCTGTGTTTTCCGCTTTGTATGTCATTGCTCTGAAGATGTCTTAAGTTAAAGACGAAACGTTAGCTTTCAAATAAATATTTTAAATTATATTTTTGTTATGGCTCTTTTACGTGTTTTATGCTGGGCATTAATATTTTTCCTAAGATTACGATTTCCGCCTGGTTCATCTATCGCAAGTATTTTGGTATTTATCAAACGAATCACCCCTGTTCACCGGGCCAGCCCGTCTCCATACGAAGAGCCCCCCTCAAACGGGAGAGTAAATCATTTACAAAATTTTTAGATCGTTCTTTCGATAGAAGTCATTTCAGTTTTCATGAAATGTTTTCGTTTTTAAGCTGATGTCACAAGTGGGGGTAAACTTTATGACAGTCCACAAGACTTTTAAAACTTACCATTTTTGTTTGCAACATTTGCCAATGGAATCATCGATAGACTCCATGATTTTATCTGACTGGCATCTTTGAAAATGTTGTGATGTCGTAGGTTTATTATTAGCATATCAAACAAACGGAAATATCACAAGAATGCAAAGAGTTAAAAAAAGTTTCAAATAACTTATTTTGAGTTCTTTCTATCTAAACAAACTTGAATTTCATTGTCATTGCCCTCTTGAACTTTATTTATATTGGATAAACCTGGAACCATGGACTTCCCTACTTTAGTTTAAGTATTTATAGACATCAATGGACGACTTGCGCTTTAGACTAAATTTTAATCTAAGTAAGAACAACGAAATCTATCACCACAGCTAGAAAGAGCGTCTTGGAATTAGTAATATTACAAAGTTTGGCTGCGAAATGTTGTAAAATACGGAAAATATAGCCCTTCAAAGTTGGCAAATTTGTATACTTTTGTATTACGTGCGTGAATTGGTAACTAAATTAGTTACCAATTTCCGCACGTAATAGAAATGTATACAAATTTGCCAACTTCGCAGGGCTATATTTTCCGTATATTACAACGTTTCGCAACCAAACTTTGAAGTTTTTCTAATTTTGATAACTTCTTTCGGAAAATATCCTTTGTTATTCCCAGATTAAAAATTTTTCTAAAGCGCAAGTCGTCCATTTCAAGACGGATTAATTATTTCAGTTCAGAACAGTCAGGGACGCCGGAACGATGTGAAGACAAGGGGGCAGATTTTCGTGAAAGGGCACTTTTCAATTGATATATACTAAGAGATGTTTGCAAAACATCGAGAGCTGAACTTCGCCTAATCCGCCAGGCGATTGTGCTATTCTTGAAGCTAGATGACTGCATTTCTTGCGTTTTCTGAAGAAAATTTGTAAAAGAATTGCACTATCATTTCTGAAAATTCGCTGTTTCGCCAAGGCAATCCTTTAAATTGAAATGGCACCTTTGCCCCCCTTGCCCCTCCTGGTAAAGGGCAAAGGGGGCGGCTGCCCCTCCTGCCCCCCCCCCAGTTCTGGCGTCCCTGAGAACAGTTTTGCTTAAACTATTCTCCATATAAGTAAATAAGCACCACCATTTTTGGTGACCGATAAAGGCGAAAAAAGTGCAGATGATTTTCGAGTACTCCAGTTTCCTCCTGATTTATTAAGGGAAAGCTGTTGCCCAGGCTGTATGGCGCCTGTAAGGGATTACAGCTATACTGCCCTTCTAGGAAAAACAGTTTAGAAGTGGAGGAGCTATCCGGTATAAATAAAGATAATTTGGTTTAGGTTTTCTCCTGTTGTAACACCGGACGAATAGAGAATGGCTTTACTTGGAACTCTAGGAGAACAGTTTAGAACTGATAGAACTATCCAGTATAAATAAGGTTAGTTTAGTTTAGTTTAGTTTAGGTTTCCTGTTGTGGTAACACTTGACCATGTTTTATTTAATGTGATTCTGCTGGACCTCTGGGAAAACTGTTCAGGAATGATAGAGATTAAAGTTAGTTTAATCGTCGCTTTCCATCTGCTCTGACGCTGGAATGCGCACATAAAGATCTCACAACTTGTCAACAAGATGTGTTCGCAACAGGCTTCTAGCAAGTTTGTCAACAAGTTGTAACAATGCTGTTATTTTATCAAGATGCTACAAGGTTGTCACTCACAACTTGTTGACAAATTACTAAATTGTAAGACGATAACAAGTTATTGGAACAACTTGTAACAAGTCTGTTGAGCTCAACAACCTTGTAACAAGTCTGTTGAGCTCAACAAGCCGCTGACAACTTGTCAACAAGCAGTGCGAGCACATCCTGTTGACAAGTTGTTGGAACAGCATTGCTACAAGTCTGCTGCAGGTTGTTACAACTTGTGCGTTTTTACGCGAGTAGTAAGGATTGACCCTTACTGGACCTCTAGGAAGAACAGTTCAGAACTGATAGAGATAAAGTTGGATGGTCCTTACTGGACTTCTTGAGAGAGCATTGTAGATCTGATGGAGCTACATCCATTGTGAATAAAGCAGCATGAGCTCCACCTTTGAATTTACTATATGAGTAAATTCTTAAACACGTCCGAATTTATCATTATGATAATTTCGCGGCAAATTTTGAATTTATCATAATAATAAATTCGCGGCACCTAACACTAACCCTAACCACTAACCCCTAACTTTTTAAACTTTTTAAATTTTTTTAACTTTTTTTAAAAATCTAACTTTTTAAACTTTTCTTGCTTTTCAAAACTCTTTTAAAACTTTTTTAAAAACTATTTTTTTTAAAAACTTGAAAAACTCCCCACCCCCGCGCGACCAGCTTCCCTTTTGGTGCCATTACATTTATAACAGGAAATCTTGTGTAATGCTTGTGGTTTTATGATTAACTCTATTGATAAATTCAAAATGTGCCGCGAATTTATCATAATGATAAATTCGGACGTGTTTAAGAATTTACTCGTATAGTAAATTCAAAGGTGGAGCTCATGTTGGAATAAAGTCGATTAATTTGGCTTCAAATTTAGCATGATAGGCTAATGTCGTTTCCTAATCTTCCTTCCAGGTTCCCTATTTTGGCTTGGCTTCAATCCTCACCTCTCGCTGACGAAACTTTCCAGACAATACGGCGACATCTTCACGATAACCTTCGGAAGTTACAACTCTATTGTATTAAACAGTATCGAGAGTGTTCGTGAAACACTCGTGAAGCGTTCGCGAGTGTACGGCGGTCGACCGCAACTGTACTCGTTCACCGAAGTTCGAGCCGGCCTGGGAATTCTATTTATAGACCAAACGCCGAAATACGAACGACAACGAAAGTTGGCAATCCGATCGCTGCACCGAACATTTTACGAGACCAAAAACTTGGACGCCATTTTGAATAAAGAAGCTTTGAAACTTTTAGGCGAATTTAGAAAATTTCAAAGTGAACCCTTTCACCCAAAGGGCTTGTTAAGACTTTTAGCTGCGAATCTTATACTGAAGTCGTTCTTCGATTTAGATTTTGAGTTCAATGCTCCCGAGGCTAACGAAGTGGTCGAAATGGTTGAAGATTTCACCAAAAATACCAGCCCGGTTAACCTATCAGATATAGTTCCATGGTTGCAAATGTTGCCCATCGGAGATTTTTCAAAAATGCGAAAACTGTTTCAGGATTTTGTTGGGATGCACGAACGATTTTATATTTCTACCGCACGAAGTAGAGTACCTGGACAGCCAAGGAGTCTTACTGATGCATTATTGGATAACTTACCGCTGTACAATAAGGGTGCCACGGACGCCGGCTCAGAAATTACAGAGAAGGACCTGGTTTATGTGTTAGCCGATTTAGTAGGGGCTGCATTTGAAACAATAGCGAATACGTTAAGTTGGGCGCTGATGTTGGTGGCGGCACATCCCGATTGGCAGATCGTGTTGCAATCGGAATTAGACGCCGTTGTCGGGAAAGATCGCTTACCGAGTTCGGAGGATAGGGATAAACTCCCGACATTAAACGCTGCTTTATATGAAGTACTGCGCATGAGCTGTGTCGTGCCAGTCTCCCTACCTCACTCGACGACACAGGATACCAAACTCCGTGAGTACAACATTCCCAAGGGAACTTTCGTCTTTGTAAATTTATGGGGCATCCATCACGACCCTAGGCACTGGGAGGCACCATACGAGTTTAATCCCCGGAGATTCTTAGACAGAAACGGGAACTTTTTCGTACCAAAGCATGAAAGTTTTATCCCGTTTTCGACGGGGGGACGGTCGTGCTTAGGCGAAAAACTAGCCAAGGACGAAATATTTGTCTTCTTTGCCGCAATAGTTCAACGATTTCAACTGCACTTAGTGAACAATGAAAATGTGAATGATTTTAATGGTGACTATCGCCTCACACTTGCACCGAAACCTTATCTACTAAACATTATTGAACGATGATTGTTAAATAAGCAAGCTAAGCTTTTGTCTCATGAAACCGATAATCCTCCAGAACCCCACTTTAAATAACAAGAAAGAGCAAATTTGTAGTATTTATATTTGAAGTAGTGATATAAGACACAAATAATACAGTATTACATTCATTCACATGCAGAATACAGATCATAAAAGTTTAGTCAGTAATACACAATTAAATATATAAAAATATGTTGAAAAAATTCATCTGTGTGGTCGCCAAATCCTGGATTACCACAACATGCTCGCAGACTTGGGAACAACTTCAACAACTTCTGGGAGTTGTATAAAAAGAGACTGGATACTCATTTGATCATCGCGTTGGGTGGAAACATTGCCGCTTGATTTTTCTTGCACATTTTCCATGTCTATTGTCACACTTGCACAAGAGGATTTCGGACCAGAAGTATCTTGATTGGGTGCCCCAGAGCTTGGGCCGAATTCTGTTTTCTGCTTCTTACAGCAGCAACGAGTGCAACGCCTGAGGTGGAGAAGTAGTTGTGTGTAAGAACTTAATGGGAACAATGAAGTGTGAAGAATGTTGATGGATTGAAGAAGGGATTGAAGAAGGGAAGAAGAAAAGAGGGAGAGGGAAAAAGGGTGGGGAAGCAAGGAGAGTGGAAGAAAGAAAGGAGAGAGGGAGGATGGGGAAGGAAGGAGAGAGGGAACAAGAAAGGAGAGAGGGAACAAGAAAGGAGAGAGGGAGTAGGGTGGGGGAAGATAGGAGAGAGGAAGGAAGAAGAAAGGAGGGAGGGGGTGGGGAAGATAGAAGGGATGAAGGAAGAAAGAAAGGAGAGGGGGAGAAGGAGGATGGAATGAGAGAGGAAGGAAAGAAGGAAGAAAGGAAAGAGGAAGGAAGAAATAAAGGAGAGAGAAAGAGGGAAGGGTGGGGATGGAAGGAGATGGAGAGGAAAGATGGAGAGAGTAAGGAAGAAAGGAGGGAGAAAGAATGAAGGAAGGGCAGGGAGAAGAATGGAATGTAGGCAGTAACGTGGGAAAGAAATGATGAAAAAAGAAAGACAATTCATTACCTGATTGCAATGTATGTCAAAATGCTGACTATAATGGTGCCAACCATTCCAATCGCCGCACCAATAACCATGCCCTTCTGAAAACAAGGACTCTTGAAATCTTTAAAAAACCCAATGAAGCCAAATGTCTGTTCTTCACTGCTGCTGTTGTTGTTGTTCGAGCTGTTTGCATTATTTTGTAGAGCTATATATGAAAAATGTTTTTATTATTCTTCATTACCATTCTTGTTGTTGTTCTTTTTGTAGCTGTTACTTGTATTGTTTTCATTGTTGTTGTTGTTGTTGTTGTTGTTGTTGTTGCTGTTGCTGTTGCTGTTGCTGTTGCTGTTGCTGCTGCTGTTGTTCCTGTTCTTGTTTGTTGTTTTGTTCATGCTGTTGCTGTTTTGTTGTCGTCCTATTTTTGTTCTCATTCTTCTCCTTTGCTTACCGAAAGCTCGTGCCATTGGTGGGTCAATAAAAATCGCCGCCGATTTCTTTTTGTCATCATTCTTGATGATAATTATTTCCGATGTGGACGTTTTGTCCAGAAATAAATGGACGTACATTTCTTTCACAACACCATCTTCGCTGTTGTTTTTCATTTTGTTATTCACTTCTTCGTAACTTCCTTTCCACTTGCTATATGTGGGTAAGCCGAGGGCGTCGTACTTGACTTTTCGAATCAAAATCTTGAACGATTCAACTCGCAATCCATCAGCTTCCCACTGAACTCGAGCGTGATTAACGCTTGTCCAAGTTGCATTTATGACGAACGAATTTTGTGCTAAATAAAAGTAATAAAGCATTTTGATATTGACAAGACAAGCCGAAAAGCGCTGAACAAATTTCGGAAAATCGCTTATTAAGATAAACTTTGTATTTGCGCGCTTTTAATAAACGTCATAAAAACCACGAATGTCTGATTTCTAGCTAACAGAGAAAATCGCGCAATTTTAGTATTGCAGTTTTCTTTCCATATTTAGAAACGTTAATTCAGAGAAATTACTGTTTTGTATTTCTGTCGGTGCGCGCTTATAGAAAACAGGAAAACATTTTCAAAGCGTTTGTTTTTCGCACAAAAGTAGTTTTTAAAGTCACTATTGAACTCTTCTTTCCAAAGTAACAGCCCAAAAGGACAATTTTTCATCTTACCTCGGAACTGGCACTTTTCGCCATAAAATGCGTCCTTGCAAACGCATTTGACACCCTCGAGTGTGAACACACGAATAGCCCGCACTGGGCAGGGGCTTGCAGCATCGCAGCTGCAAGAAAAAACACAAATACCAAGAAAAATCGCCAAGACAATGCGGAGTAAAAATCCGCACGCCTCCATCGCTTGATAACTCAATTAGCTTTGATGTGATTGGTGTCGTCATAATTTGATGTAGATTGCGTGCCTCGTTCGGTCCCGGTCCACATGAGCCAAGCGCAACCATATGACGATTAGCCAATAACGTTTGACTAGCCTCTCTCCCATTGGCAGCTAATACCACTAATGCTTCAGTACAAACATTGAAGTTTCACATGTGCACAGACTGATGCAAGCGACGGTAAATACTACCAACACGGAGCTACCTTAACAAAATACCGTATTTTTGCGGGGGGGGGGGAGGGGGCAGCATCATAAGTTTCAGGGGGGGAGTAAATTAAATAGACACAAAATAAACACAAAAGATGGCTTCTTTCTCTGAGCAGGTGCAAAGGGCACTTTTTAACATCGGCATAGGAGCAGCCGGCGTTTTAACTGTAGTAACAGTATTTCTTGTGAAAGGAGTGATAAATAGTTCTTCTCAAACACAAAAAAGGTCTTCAAGAAAGAAAAAAGACGCGAAATATATAGATATTGACGATGACATTCTATCAAGATTTTCGAAGGCCATTCAATGTGAGACGGTGTCATATGGCACGAAGGGTAGTGAGACACCATCTAGCCCGGAGGAATTGTTGAAACTTCATGCTGTTATAAAAGATTGTAAGTATTTGTCCACGCGAAAGTTTATAAATCTCAACCTTTTTTAAAACTGTATTGGACTAGCCAAGGCCTGACTCTTGAGGGCCCAGGAAAGATAATATAAATAGAATGACTGGATGGAATTATGTTTTAAAAACTGGGGGAAGTCTATTCTGACAGCTGTGGTGTGAGGCATATACAACTACTTGAAAAATATAAACAGAATTTTGACTAGGGAAGGCCCTTCATGACTTCATCAGGAAGATGATAACATGGATTGATTACACTGCAGCTGTGACAGCTGCTGTCTATTATCGGTTCTACCCTCACTGCTATAAATAGTATAATATACAGTAAATGTATTTTCTTAAGAACTTGAAATTCGCACTTTTGCGAGCAACTTTCAGAGTTATAACCCACAGAATTGTTCACAGAGACCTTTTAAGATTGAAATCTATCGAGAAAAGCTTATTTACAACAATATATAAAAGATGGCTTCTTTCTCAGAGCAGGTGCAAAGGGCACTTTTTAACATCGGCATAGGAGTAGCCGGTGCATGAACAGAGCAATAACATTCAGCTCGCTTGGGTGAGCTAGCCCAGGTAATTGCATTTATGTAGGAAATTTCCAGCCGGGTCACCAAAGATTTCAGGTCAGACGAGGCGGGATCTCGCTTTAAAGGCAGGCCAGCTCAGTTCCCATATGAATGCGAAATGAAATTTAGTAGGAAATAATAACAAAGGCAGGGTCTTGCCTAAACCGGACCTAAGAATTAAATTTCTTAAAACAGCCCCTCGCTTGGAAAACTTTAGAGATAAGGCGAGATTATTATTGCACTGCACCTAATTTGAATAATTTGTTTCTAAAAATTAGTAAAATTTGTCCTATTTCATACAATTTACGAACTAGCGACACAGACTTATTGTTACCAGTTACCATGTCAGAAATGTTAAATGTAATGTTTGTAACTAATTAAGTGTATTGTCAGATTCTTGTAATCTGTTGTACACCCCTGATGGAAATCAGCATTTTGTTGTTGGGGCAAGCATGTTAAAATAAATTTATGTATGTATGTATGTATGTAAGAATCAAATTTCTCAATTTTTTATAGCTTTCCCATGTGTGCATTCTTCACCTCTGGTTAAATGTGAAGTAATCAACAAGTACAGTCTCTTATACACAATCAAAGGAAGCGATCCGTCTCTAAAGCCATATCTACTCATATCACATTTGGACGTTGTCCCTGTGAAGGATCAGTTGTGGGATGAGCCTCAGTTTGAGGGCCTTGTGAAAGATGGCTACATTTGGGGACGAGGAACACTAGATGTCAAGAATGGTGTCATGGTGTGTTTATTAGTGCATTAAGCGGCAATGACCTCTCCTTGATGAGTAAAGTCGTCTGTTGCATTGAGCGACAGCACGCTCTCTCTCCTGTTGATGAGTAAAGTTGTATTTTTATTGTACAGGGGTCACTTGAAGCACTGGAGTTTCTTTTGAAATCTGGTCATTTGCCAAAGAGAGGTTTCTTCCTTGCTTTTGGACATGATGAAGAGGTGGATTACTGATAGCTAGTGATAATTTATCACCACTGCCACCATCACATTCTCCACCAATGTTGTCACCACCACCATCCCAATGTTGTCATCACCACCATCACACAATCACCATCACCATGATCATCACAACTTCCACCATCATCACATCCACTGTGATCACAAACACCACCACCACTATCAGCAGCACAATTGCTGCCACCACCAGTATCATCATCACCCCCACCATCATCCCTGCACTATCACCATCATCATTACCACCACTATCATTATCATTACCACCATCATATCCACTGTCATCACAACCATCACCACCACCATCATCATTATCATCACATCCACTGTCAGTTTGTCATCACAACCATCACCACCACTATCACCATCATTATCATCACCATCACCTCCACTGTCATCACAACCACCACTATCACCATCATCATCATCATCACCATCACCTCCACTGTCATCACAACCATCACCACCACTATCATTATCATCATTATCATCACCTCCACCATCACCTCCACTGTCATCACAACCATCACCACCACTATCATTATCATCATCATTATCATCATCATCACCATCACCTCCACTGTCATTACAACCATCACCACCACTATCACCATCATCATCATCATCATCACCATCACCTCCACTGTCATCACAACCATTGATCACCACCACTATTACCATCATTATCATCATCACCATTACCTCCACTGTCATCACAACCATCACCACCACTATCACTATCATTATCATCATCATCATCACCTCCACTGTCATCACAACCATTGTGAACCACCACTATCACCATCATTATCATCATTATCATCATCATTATCATCACCATCACATCCACTGTCATCACAACAACCACCATCATCATTATCACTACAACCTTCATCAATTATGACTTTATGATTTTGCTCAGTAAAGATGAAACTTGTTTGCATTGTACTCATCAAGTGGAGACCAATGTGTTGATTTACTTTGAAGGTATTTGGTGAATACGGAGCTGCCTATATTGCCAATGAACTTGTATCTCGTGGTGTGAGTCTGGAATTTGTCCAAGACGAAGGGATGGTCGTCATTGATGATCTTTTTCCTGGCATCAGTAAACCTGTAGCTGCGTATGTATCGAGTTTACATTTCAAAGCAGGGCTCAAAATAACGTCCGCTCAACGGACAGTGACCGGCCAAAAATGCATCTTGAAAATGGTCACTTTTTTACCTCACCGGTCGTTTTGACCGGCCACATTTTCATGCCTTCCAATGTGATTGCCGACGTCTTCAATTAAAACATGAATCTATGATGTATCGAAACAAGTTTCTTATAGTTTGTTTCACTGTTAGTGTAAGCGTATCAATGACTATCAGCTCGATCAAAAACAGATTTTGACCGAGCTAAAATCAAGTTGTCTCACATAAAAGTTTTGTCCATATTACATATTTCTTGCATTTTCGACTGTTTCTTCCTTTTTAATTTATTTCCCCATCTTTTAGCCCAAGTGACATTTAAAATTTGCCCAACTCACATTTAAGATTTTCCCAACTTCAATTTTTCTTGGGGGGGGGGGGGCAGCTGCCTCCCCCTTACCCCCGTCTCATACGCTTATGATTATCTATGCTTGAGCGGAGATAAACCCTGAAGCCAGTTGTTCAAAAGCCGGTTAACTCAATCCTAGATTAACAAAATCGTCAAAGCAATCTTCCGAACAGTTTGTCTAGAAACACGAAGCTATTTTTCCAGAAATTTTGTCTGCATCAACGGAAGTTGGATTAACAGGTTAAGAGGAGATTTGTTTGTATGTTACGTAATATACCACTTGAGGTTATGACTAAATTCAAAATTTTTATTTTTCGATACGTTTCTCAATCGGCAAACAAACTTCAAAAGTATGTTTAGTGCTATATCTGTAAAATAATGCTAAAATGAAGAGATTTTAGATGATACGCCAAAGAGAAAATGATGTCTGAAGTTCAGTAAGTTTTGCTTACATGGCTGTATAAAATATGGCGTCAATTTTAAAGCATCATTAATAATTGTATTTTAATTGACAATTTTTAACTATTATTTTATTTTTTAGTTTCTCAACCGGAAGATGCATTGAAAAAGGTTGCTAGCTCTATAAACTAGAGAATAAACATAAAACAAAGTAATTTTGAGAGGAACGCCAAAAAAATGTTAGGTTTTGAACACTTTTCATTGCAAATACGTGACATTGAAAAAAATTGCCTCTTAAATTTTTAATCCAGGATTAGAGTTGATCTACTTTTGATCAACCGTCTCCCGCATACGAGGTTGAACTTAAGTATTTTCACTTGTGTACAGGATTGGCGTTGCTGAGAAAGGTTCGCTGGCGATAGAATTGAGAGTGGAGACGTCAGGGGGACACGCCTCAATGCCTCCAAGAGAAAATAGTATTGGCATCCTGGCTAATGCTGTTGCAAAGTACGTCTTTATTTTGTGTACCGGTATATATGTACGTGCAGTACAGTATATATGCAGCCAATATGTAGGTCTTACTGCCACTTGTATCATAATGTATGTTATTCGTTTGTAATGGGTGATTCCATCTATAGACTAAATTTTGATCAAGGCAAAAAGAACGAAATCCAACACCACAGCTAGAAAGAGCGTCTTAGAATGAGTAAAACTGCAAAGATTGGTTGCTAAATGTTGTAAAATAAAGAAAATATAGCCCTGTGAAGTTCGCATATTTTGTATATATTTGTATTACGCGCGGTAAAAATAACCACTTTCGGCTCGAAAATGGTTATTTTTCCCGCGCTTAATGCAAACATATACAAAATTTGCGAACTTCACAGGGCTATATTTTCCTCATTTACAACAATTCGCAAAAACGTAAAACAATTCGTAAAACACAGCAATTCGTAAAACTTTGCAATTTTACTCATTTTAAGATCCTCTTTCCAGCTATGGTAATGGATTTAGTTCTTCTTGTCTAGATCAAAGTTTCGTCTAGAGATGGAATCATCCATTATGGCAGGCAGATTCAATTGGGGCTACGCTCTGTCTGCTCACCTATCATCTGTTGTAATTTGTTTTGATGATGAAGTTATTAAATTAAACTAAACTAAACTCTCTACACTTGCAGCCAACGCTCAAGATTTTACTCGTTTCATTGTTTTTGCTTCAAATTTAGAATTGAACGTAATCCAATGCCTACAACATTTGGATGTGGACCAGAAATTGACTTACTTTCAGGAATTTCTTCTGTGGTATGTTAGTAATGTGTTTTAACTTTACTATACAGTACGTATTTATACGTGATGTGCAACCACTCCCATGGGATTCGAAGGACAAAGAGATTTTCGCCATGTTGGTTTCGCATTGCAAACAAGCGAAATCCTTTGTCAATGTCATCCAACATGGCGGCGATGGCGTGACTTGCCTAAAGTAAGAACTGAATGTGCAAAGAATTCTTTTTATTATTATGGATGCAAGGTTTTTAATAAGTCTAATTAAGTCGATCGGGACATATAGATAGTTAGTTTATTGTAGGGATTTTAGATAATTTTATACTATTTTAGATAAAACTGTATTGTAGATATACTGTATATTTTTCAGGGCCCCCAAGGATAACAGTGAACATTCACTGATTGGGTCACCCTGTGTAAATAAAGATCTTAAATTACATTACATTACATATTTGCTTTGATTATAGGTGCCACTTCCACTTAGGATCGTTACATCCAATTTGTGGTTATTTAAACCTCTCATTGCCTGGTAAGTTTTGGTATCATTTTAAAATCATCGCACCAGTGTAATCTAAACCTTTTACTTTTATACAATTGTATCATTCGACAACCTCCATTGATGTTTGTAGGGTTTTAAGCAAAAAGGTAACGACAAATGCTTTAGTTCGGACTACTATTGCTGTGACAAAGATGAATGGTGGAACAAAGGCAAGTTTTGGTAGCTAACCATTACTACCAACATCACAATCACTGAATCACTGCATTGCAACTATCTTCAACACCTGTATCATCGTCATTACAACCACACCATGTCATCACCACCACCATCGTCATCATCACCACCACTACCATCATCACCAGTCATCACCATCACCACCACCACCACCATCATCATCATCATCACCATCATCATCATCACCATCATCATCACCACCACCACCATCATCATCCCGCCACCATCACCATCATTACCACCACCATCATCATTATCACCATCATCATCAACACCATCATTATCAACACCACCATCATCACCATCATCATCATCTCCACCATCATCTCACCACCACCACCATCGCCAATATTTCGCGACTTCCCCGCCACTGACCACGACCATCATACTTTGCAAAGCAACTATATCTGACAGCTCTTTTCCTTTCCTTTTAGGACAACGTGATTCCAGCTTCAGCAACAGCACATTTAAACATTAGAATACACCACGGCGATACGGCAGATTCGGTAAGCAAACTTGTCCTGATGATGGCGTACAGATTTTAGAAAACAAGTTAGCTTATTATCGCTATCTTTATGTCCAGATTATCCAACATTTACGTTCGTGCATTAATGATGAACGTGTTCAGATCAATACATTGACAGCAAAGCGTGAATCGCCGATTGCGTCAAGTGACAGCAAGAGTTTTGGTTACAACACCGTAGCCTCTTCCATACAAGATGTTTTTCCTGATGTCATCGTGGCTCCAGGTTTGTGCTATTACAAGTATGAAGGTCCATTTCCACTCAGGAAATTGTGATTGGCCAACGCAAATTTTCCGTTGGAAAAAAATTTTGAAGTTGAAAATTTTCAACTTTTAACAATGATATTTTCAGAAAATTTTCTGTCCGTGGAAATTTTTCTTGAGTGGAAATGGGCCGTTACACCCGTTTTCAAAATTACGCGACCTCCCTGAAAAATACTCTTACTTCAAATGTCAGTTTTATGTCACAAGAACTGCTAAAAATAGCAAACGTAAACAAACAGTCAAAAGACATTTTAAACCGTATTTAATAGCAAAACTGAACAAAAATGAGTTAGATAACTTAGATATACAAACTAAAGCACAATACAAGCCATCACAACAGAAATATGTGCCGTGAATGACTTTTAAAGTTTGAAAAATAACAATTTATCCTCGAATTTAGCTGTCAGTATAAAACACGCGCGCTAGACTATAACGGTCATGTTATGATTTTGTCATGCTTAAATTTTGCAATAATTCTCACTAAAATATCTTGAAAATCATTGTAAGCCTGTTTATATAAAGCATACAAAGCATATACATCGAAAAGGAATCGCAAAACTCAAAGTTTGAACTTCGTGACCGAATGACATAAAACTGACATCTCAACTCTAGCATTTTCGTCCTTGGTCGCGTAATTTTGAAAACGGGTGTAAAGAGTTTGAGCAAAACAACGAAGTACGAAGACCTATACTTGAGTTGAGTTGACAATTCTCGCTATTTATGAATGCTGATTATAATATAGCATTTGTAAATTGTGAACGCTGATTGGCTAAGAGCCGTGTTGATATAACTCAATGTCAACACGGAAACGTCGGAAAATTTCTTTCTTTATGTTTCTTTGTGCTATATTATAAAACAAATATAAAACTTTTTTTCCGTATTGATATACAGTTATATCAACACTCGTGGAAATTGGGAAAATTCGAAATTGTGTGAAAACACTTCTCCCAATTTCCACTCGTGTTGATATAACTGTATATCAACACGGAAAATGTTTTATATTTGTCAGTTAAACCATAACACGGTGCGATAATTCACGATTTTTAGTCGTACAGTGTACCTGACTGGCAAGCCAATGGTTGTTGCCGCTTACTTGCGCTAGTACTGTACAAACTCAGTACTCAATCTGTACTTAGTCTTTAAAATAAGGATCATAAAGTACAGGTTTCTGAAAAGTATGTTCAGACTACGAGGTAGAAAAAGAAGCACAATTGCATATACAAACAATCGACTACAACGTTTCTTAGTGCCAATCATGTTTCATGCCAAGACATCTCAGACACGTGATATACCAACTATAAATGACGGTATTGAATACCTTGGCCTTGGAAAGGTCATGTGGTACGCGCAAAAAGTAAGTACGCAGATAGCAAGAGTTCCGCGTACCTGCGTGGTACTTGCTGAAATCAAACTGAAGTCCAGGCCGTAATATTGGCGTACCTAGATACATATCAAGACGCATTGAATTATACTGGTCTAAAAAAGTTAAGTACGCGTAGACATAATTCCTGTGAACAATTTATTCGGAAATTGAAGCTTGACAATGGTCCTATAAATCCTCTTAAGGATGTTGTTGCAACTCGTATACATCCAAATACTCATAATTATAATCTTAGGGCCGAATCAAGCTGGTCACTCCAAACGAACACAGAACGGTTTCAAAATTTTATAACTGTCAAATATAATTATTAATGTATTATTGATTTAGTAGTACTCGTGTATATTAATTCAGGGACCCAATTATAATTTGTGGACAGATTTAAACTGACTATTCAGAACGAATATTGAACGGTTTGAACTCAATTTTATCTGTAAATTTAATTTTTAATGTATTTACTTATAATCATGTAATTCAGTAGAGACTGCAATGTGATTAATTAAACAGATTATTATTATTATTATTATACCTCCGGTGTATACATAAGTACGCGAATTATCGCACCCTGTCCCTAATCCAATAATGCTGGACGATGCAGTTGGTTGAAAAAGTTTAAAGGAATTTGGCAATAAAAAATTAGTTTGTCTTAAAATTATATATTAAACTCTATTACCGATTTGTCATATCTTGCTTAGTTCTCGAAATATTTAGACCGAAATTAATGAGCTGTCTACCATCTTGGACTAATCCTTGACCTCATTAACTGTGGTTTTGAAGACGTCAGAAGTTGGGTTAACCATATAAAACTACTCTAAAATGACCGAGTAACAATCCAAAATTGTTTGAAATGTTTTTAATCGTTTCTAAATTTCAGACAGCAACCAGAAACGAAGTTTTGGACCCATATCGATCGCTTACTCTCAAGATAAAAAATTAGCGTCACCCCTCTCTTGACGTAACATGCATATCCTCAACAATCCAAGATGGCGAACAGCTCACTCTTTTCAGTCGAAATATTTTGAAAACTAAGCAAGATATAGACAATCTGTAATAGAGTTTAATATATAGTTTTTTTAATAAAAAACTAAACTAATTTTTGTTGCCAATGTCCTTTATTGTCGATTTCAAGTCACTTTTCAACGCACGGTTTCCAAGTTCATTGCAAACTTGCCAATTACGTTTCCAAGTTCAAAAATTGGGCGTGAACTTCGCAACAAAGTTCGCAAGTACATTTCAATGTTTGAACTATTGTAAACAAATGTTCATAGTTCAAGTTGAAATTAACAATTCAATGGAAAGTTCGTGGTCCAGTGGGCTACCAAGAAGGTTTGTATTTCATTGAACTGGTTATTATTATTGAGTATGAACATTTGTTTTAATTGGCAAGTTCGCAACGAACTTGGGAACCGCGCGTTGAAAAGTGACTTGAAATCGACAATAAGAGGTGCCACAAAATCTCAAAATAACCTATATTTTTTTTATTTGTTGTTTCAGCGTTACTAGTTGCAGGCACGGATTCCAAACATTTCCAACAGCTAACAAGTGAAATCTATCGTTTTATGCCATCGCATTTAAAAATGGAAGACGTTCGTCGCATCCATGGGTCGAATGAACGCATTAGTGTTAAGAATTATGAAGAAACTATAAATTTCTATTATCGACTTATGCTCAATGCGGACGAAGCGACGTTGTAGTTGGTTTGGTAGGCATTTTAGATTTAGATAGTATAATTAAAACTACAGAAATATATCATTGCGAAAGTCATGAAATACTCAACCCAATTTTCGCGCAACCCCTCTAACCGCAACAGAATCGCAACAGTCTTATACATACAGTAAATATAAACCGTAAAGATCCAATTTATATTCTATGTCTATGTTATATATGTAAGGGTGTAATGGGGAAACAAATAAAAATAAAGCAGCGGTTATAGACGTTATACATATCCAACGAATTTTTTGAAACCTGAAATATGGAAATATCTGATCTTTGACGAATTGAGGGTTTTTGAGGGGATATTGCAGTTATATAGGGTAACATTAGGCTAAGAGAGGTTTATAGAGGATAAATTATGTTAGGGTAGGTCATATAGGGTAAAATTAGGTGAAGAGTGGTTATATAGGGTAAAATTAGGATAAGAGGGTAAATATCATTCTCTATCGGTAATAATCCCGTCATGTTCCCAAAAGACCTAAAGTGTCCTTCCCACGCATAATCCACGCGTGATCGCGCGTGGAACACGTGAATTGTGAAATTGCCACGTGAAAGTTGCGACGCCGCCATTTTGCAATCACTGGCAACGAGGCGTTGAAAGTACGTCAGTGCATAAAGAAACGCATTGCAGGACAAATTTAACTCAAAATATCATCGTTTTTGTCCGGTGAAATGTGCTAAATTCCCCGTAGGGACCATCCTCTACGTTTGGGGTATTCATGAATCGTTTTATATTGTCAACAAGGCGAACATATCTGCAATAATTGTCGAGCAGTTTGGATAATTTGTGCTGCGAGGTAAGCCATGTTGTCTGTGATATCTGTGTCGTTTGGGCTTTACGCGAAGGGCTTTATGGTTGATTTTGGCTTCTTTGTGGACGATACGGTATACTTGTTAGTGGATTTTATTCTGGTGTTGTGTAACTGCATGTTAACGGTTTTTTGCTGTGTTATTTGGTCAAGAAGTGCTCGAATTTATGGAGGAAACGTAATATAGTGTGTGTTGTGTCATGGGCCATCTTGCGAGTTGTTGTCCTCATATAAAGGAAAAACATATTCGCGACAAATACTTGTTATATGGCAAGTATGCAGCCATGAAAACTGAACATATAAACTTTAGAAGATGCGTTTTGTTATTTCCTGACGGTATTGGGATATTTTTTCTAGCGTTTCTGCTTGTATTTCACCGTTCAGACAAAATCTTCCTAGCTAACCACGCGCTCTCAACTAGACAACAGCCATATTTTATATCGCGATGAAGTGTATTTTTAATATAATATAGAATATTATACTCTGTTTTTCGTCATTAATGAGACCGAAAGGGAAAAGTTTCTCCGTGTTGGTCTGAATATAGGCGTATTTCTATCGTATTTGAAGGAAATTAGATGTTTGCACGAAAGCCGATCGAGTTTCATCCACAAAAACGGATGATGAAATCCCACTACCGCTTGGAATGTGTATCATTTTGCTAATACCCTAAATGTTGTTAGAAACGGTCTGTCCGGGTTATATTGAAGCAATATGACATGGTTTTGACGTAAAACCAGCCACAAGTTAGGTCTGGTTTAATATTCTTAGTATATCTTGCAATTTGTAGGGTTTCGTGCTTCCAAACGCCGCCATGAAATTGCTATGAATATAAATAACCCAGCAGGCCGGGTGACACGGTTTTGTGGTTGAAAACCAACGCTTTTTTGCTTCTAAAACAATACTCGTACAACGGGAAAAAGCAGTAATATAATGCCAATAAACAACTCGTGTAGTATTGTTTTAAACTCAAAAAGGCCCCTTGAAAATTGGTAGCTTCGACTATAAAGCGAACAGACGATTTTGTTTTCGCAGCCATTATAATATATTACAGTTTCCGATTTGCTTCGAACTAGGGACGTTATAGAGTATAACCCCGCTCGAATAACAAAATTACACCGGGTTGTATGTAAAACTTATAAAATACAAGTCATTGATCCGTTTCGAGAGATACTATCTCAGTGTTTTGGTTTGAAGTCTCGGCAAATCGGTAAAATAATCGCTTTTGCGTGTAAATAATAAACGCATCTTCGTTTATAGCGAAAGCGTTCGAAAATGAAATTGACATTTTCGAAAGCCATTTATTTATAATACAAACGTGGAACGAAAATGGTGACTTTTTAAAGGGATTTTTAAAGTCATTTTGGAATTTCATATTTATTTGTTTTTTGATGGCCGAGTGTTTTATCAGCGGCTTTATAGTAACCACGGCGAACGTGTGTGTTTACGAAATTTTCACGAGAATTCAGCAGCTGCCTTGCAAAACGAAAAGCTGTTACATTCGAAGTCGAAGAGCTGTAAAGTAAAATATAAAGTAACGCCATTTGTAAGAAGCAATTTGTGTAATAAAGAACTAGTCGCCATTTTGATTATTTAAGAACCCAAGGCGAAGTGGACTTTTATTATTGCGAAAGACGTTTTATTACCACGGCGTGTGATTTTCGAACGAATTCGACGTTTCACCATTAAAAATGGCAAGATAAAAAAGCATGTAGGAAAATGGACCCCGCTATTATATATGAAGGCGTTATATTCAACGGCGCGTGCGAGGATGCAATACGCTACGACAAAAAGCTTTTGTTTATAAGCCAAACCTGTTGTCCTTACCACGTTTGTTATTGCTACGAACTGCATACATTTGTTGTCAAGAACATTCGTTTGTTCTCTAAAACCGAGAGAAACCTTTTTGTACCACGAAATGAAGGCTTAGTGCATTTAGACAGAGCTTAAAAACAAGCTGCCAACACCGGATGATAAGCTATGGCAAATATTTCATGTATAAATCATAGCCTTTCGCGACCAAGCGAGAAATTTTATTCAATAATAACAATAAGGGCTTCCTATTTATTGCATTGCGTTATAACCAAACTTTGCAGGTAGCATTATGGGTCGTTAAAATATGTTTGCTTGTTTTGTACAGTACAATATTTTGCTACCGTGGAAATGTGGCTTGGGTAAATAGATGACACTCACTTAAATTGTCTAGGGGATATTAAAAATGGAAACGTATTAACTATTATATGAAACCCCCCACACTCTATAAATTTGTAATGTGGGGCCTGTCTTATGTAAACTAATACGTGTTTCAATATATTACAACCTATTCCAATATAGTATGAAAAGTACTAATATATCATGTTATATGGGATATTTGTTACGCCTTCGATGTAATGTGTGTGATTGAAGCATTTCTATATGATATTATGCGTGTATTAATATATTATATAATATATTGCCTATTCCTCGCCTTTCAAATGGCGTTTAATTTAATAGAACATGTAAAATTAGTAGTCCTATTTCATTTTGTTCAATATTGCATGTGATTGGTCGAAAAGCTGCCTCATCCCCTTGGAATATTTCATATTCTGTAATTTGTTTCCCACTTGCTGTCACAGGATATTATTTTGAGAGAAAAAAAACAATGAAACCTTTTCCCATTGATTTTATCAGTTCAAACATTTTTGTCAGATTTGATCGAGCTTTGAAATCTACAGCAAATATGGGTTTTTACTCCTCAAATAAAGAAATCCTATTTTAATGGCAGGCTATGTTTATTATGTGATTTATGTCCCAGAGTTCATTGCACGTGTTCAATTCGAGATATACGCCTAGAAAGCTCTTAACTCCATGTTATAAGAGCAATATTCTGGACAAAGATCTTTCAGACATTCTAAAAGCTTAGATGTCTGAGAGAACTTCCTTCAGAATATTGCATATTTAATTAATTGGGCCAAAATTCACTAAAAGTAAACCATAGTCTTATGCTTCTTGTCAGCCTGGCTACAAGCAATGTGCCCACTTTACAAGCCAGTTCGAAGTCTTCGCTGCACATCCAAATGAGAAATGACATGGTTTGTGTCAGGATAAATTGCAGTTTCACTATAACATGTAGCTGGGATAATTGGAATATTCAATCGTACAATCATCATCGTTCGAATATGCAAAAAGTTGCTTAAAGGACAATTAGTTTCCATTGATTTGTTTTAAATTAGAAAATATATTCCTTTAAGTCGATGGTTTAAGTTTACTCTATCTAATGTCAGATGATTTTTTTCGTCAAGGGGAGTTCAATGGTCTAGTTAACGCATTAAGTTGCATGGCACCCATTGTGCCCTACTTTATTATTTTACTCTGTCTAATGCAAGACAATTTTACTCATCAAGAGATTTAAAATATTAATGCCCAACTCTCTTACCTTGTGAAGTAAAATTGTCTGGCATTAGACGGTGTGAGGTAACTAGCAGGGGTGCATTGCCATAAATGAGTCACAAAAGATGTGCACAAAACCCAATGCTTTACTCTTGACAAGTAAATCCATCTGGTATTAGACAGCATACTTCGAAGTAAGGTGCATTGCAGAAGGCTGACTCAGCCAAAAATGTGTAACTGCCATTGTGCCATGAATTCACAAAGATTTGTCATGAAAATGCAATTGTCATGTTCCTAGCCAGTGTGCATATGACAAGCATTCACCCCCCCCCCTGAACATCTGCCATTTTGAGTGTTTTCAGGGGGTGAATGCCTCTTATAAATGCACTGGCTAGTAACATGGCAACAGCACTGCAACGGTTACCTGAAAATCATAGGCAAAGCCACTATATGGCTTCTATTCTCTGATTTTGTCCTAATTTTGCAATGCTGTTCCAGAAACTAATAGACAGATTTAGATCGAGGACGCGGACGTCAAAGACGACGTGAAAATGGCGTGTTGTGCCCATGTATGGATAAGCCACGCCATTTTGACGCCATGTTCACGTCATCTTTGACGTCCGCGTCCTCGATC